AACTGTTGATTCTTCAGTTGAGAAAGGTAATTTGCCTCTGTTTCCGAGTACCCAATATCATCGCTCCTTTAAGACGGTACCGAAATCTTTGTTAGTTATCGAAAAGGGAGTGCACAGTACCGCAACAAACCTCGTTGAAGATTTGCTGTATTAGGAGACTCGTCACTGGTGAAATAATAACCACTGAAACAACCTGCTGCCTGGAGCAAGCGCTGCTGGTCGCCTTCATTCTTTCTTGCACGCGAAATTCATGATCGCTACTTCTGAGTCTACAGAAAATGGAAATCACCTCACGGCCATATTTACACTACAAAGTTATATCGCCGGTCATTTTTGCAGTTTCTTGCATCAGGTAGGTGGAGAATACAGAGATAGTTGAGCGTTGAGAGAACAAAAACAGGTTTATGTATCAATCTGCTGCATCACCATTATATTATTTTTCCCCTGTAGAATTTAGAGTTGTGATAACAGTGGCAACAGCTAAAGGTTATGTGATAAATATTATTGCTTAATTTAATGACTGTTTGACTTTCAATTGTGCAATTTTTTTGTGAAAATAATTTCCCTCAATACAGTAGCCAGTTTTACAGATGTATTATTGGAAGATTTCTTTTAAGGTGTGCCAGATCAGAAGTTCAAAGAATGCAGATATTTAAGTGAAAACCAGTTATAAATAAAGGCTTATTATACTTCACCATCGTGCTTCGTCAGCAGAAGCGACGATCGAAAACGAGTATATCAGAGTGCCCTGTTTTTAAATTAAATTTTGATAATCATTTTTACTCATATCGCACTTGTTTCAATGCAACTTACTTGCAGTTCGTCAACAGTGCCCTCGGGCGTTGAATCCTCGCTAGTGCATGTGGCCACGGTCGTTTTCTGAGTTTCGCAGGTTCCGCCGCTGTAAATGCTGCTGTCCCACGTGTCTGAGATGCTGCATTTCTTTTCGATGGAGGAGTCAACGAATTTGGTGCGAATCTCATCCAATTCGAAGTTCATCTGTTCCTCCAGCTCCTCATTATCCTTTTCGTAGAGCATGCGCAGCCGCTTGATTTCTGCTTCATACCGGTCGCAGATGAGTTTCTTCTCGTTCCGACATTTTTCGTGTATCTTCGATACCTTCGTCATCAGTCTGTGGTTTTCGGTCAGCAGGCCACCACGGTCCAGGATCGATTCCAGCTCAGACAGGCGTTCTCGGAGTTGCTGCAGGTGGGATTCTCTGTCTTTAAGCACCGCTTCGGTTTGTTTCAGCTGATTTTTGAGAAGAATAATTTCCTGATTTTTTCTTTGAGTCGGAGTTGTGTAGTCTTCGTCATGCACTGTGTGATCGTGATGCTTGCTGCAGTGCACGACGTACCGAGTGTCGCGCCCATTCCACCAGGAACCGACAATTGGACCGTCTTTGCTGTTTTCTGCCCCATCGTCATTGTTCTTGAACTCTGAAAAAGATCTAAATTTAAACAACCCCGTGACAGTGGCGTAAACGGACAGTTGTAGAGACTAAAACTGATATAGGCAAAAAGATCTGGGTCTTGAAACCGAAATTTCCTAACATCATTACAAGAAGGACACAGAAAGAAAAGGGCGGACAATGGTGGAAGCTTGAATCCTGAAGTTTTTAGTGCAAGAAACTGAAATAGCATATGGAGGGATGAGCTTTAAGTAGGCATTACCGGCCTGGACGGCAAGGATACTTGGCTCGTAGCCAAAAAACAAAACATCTAGAAAAACTCACAGACGTGGTTAAAAGATGAAATAGTCAAGTTCGTGGGACCTACACGGATGCAGAAACAGAAGGCGGAACTCGATTATGAAGTCTTGGAGTCAGCCATTGAGAAGTTGACGGAAACTACTTATGACGGCGCTGTACGAATAAGCGATTTCTTTAATTGTTCTCAGAACTCTGAACGTACGACGAGGTCATCAGTATAAAGGATATCTCAAATAGCAGAGCTAAATTAACGATTCCTACGCTGGACTATGTTAATGAGCTCCTAACAACATGATTATAACGTAAAAGTGGGCGCTTTGTAA